TTCTGGGCTTGCTTTTAGCCGGTGATGCGAAATCGGAGAAGAGTGGCTGTTGCCGGCATTTCCTCAGCTTGTTTGTTGTTGACCTTTTCAGTTCTTGCGTACTGAACATGTTTGCTCAATCCTGCTCAATGTTAGTTCCTAGGAGCTGCAAAGGGGAAAGAAGCAGTCGCAGCCATGCTGCTTTTGCTCCTGCTGTGGTTACAGCAGATTGGCCCAGTTGAGGGCCAATCCAGCATGTGCCAACGCATTCCGCCGAGCTTTCCTGCTCAGATTGTGGACTACACCACACACACACACAGCTTGCGGAGAAAGAACTCACCCAAGCAGCAGGGGACACAAGAGCCGCAAGTTCGGCTCACGGGCTGCCGGAATCAATTATAGTCGACAGCTTGCATCCTGCAAGGTGGTGTCACACCTCAAAAGCAGGTTCTTCTCGCAGCTCCCTTAAAAGACTAGGCATGACCTCAGCTTGTTTGTGCTTGACCTGTCTAGTTCTTGCACACTGAACATGTTTGCTCAATCCTGCTCGAAGATAGTTCGTAGGAGCTGCCATAGAGATACAAGCATTCGCAGCCCTTTTATTTTTAATCCCGCAATGTTCCGCCAGTTCGTGTTTGTGCAAAGGTGACTGTGTTTGCAGCTTATTGGCCTCGTTGCAGTCAAGCATGTGCGAACGCATGCTCGAGCAATCTGCTCAACCGACCGAGCCTGAGTGTGGCCTTGCTTCTTTGCTTTGGCTGACCCTAGATCAAATGTGTTTAACAAGTGGGTCCTAGGATGCTCCACGCAAGATTGTTCTTTGGTGCAAGCTGGAACTCGTTTATCAGAACCCGTTTAGGGTACTCTGATTGCTGGGAGTGTTCGCTGCTCTCTCAGCATTTCAAGAGAACCGTGCCAGCGCTGCCCCTACCAGGTGTCAAAAAGTTGTGCGTGCAAGAGCTTCCGACGCTTTCTGGGCTTGCTTTTAGGCAGTGATGCGAGCCGGGAGCAGACAGATTGTTGCCAAGCTGTTCTGGTCAGACTGTCGCCTACATCACGCGCGCAGCTCACGCAGCAGAAATTTATACGCGCAGCAGCGGATACAAGAGCAGCAAGTTCGGCTCACGCAGTGCAGTGTTCAGGCTCCGTTGGAGGACTAGGCATTACCTCAGCTTTTTTATGCTTGACCTGTTCAGCTCTTGCCTACTGAACATTTTTCTCGTTCCTGTTTAAAGTTAGTTCCCACGCCCAGCAAAGGGGTGAGAAGCAGTCGAAGTCATGCTGTTTTCACTCCTGCGATGTTCCACCAGTTTGTGTTTGCGCAAAGGTGACTGTGGCTCAGAATGTGCAATCGCATGGCCGAGCAGCATGCTCAGATAGGGCTTGAGCGTATTTGCTTTGGTTGACCCTAATTAAATGGCTTCTAACAACTGGGTTCTGGGATGCCCTGCAAACGATTGTCCTTTGGAGCAAGCTGGAATTCCGCTTATTGGAACCTGTTTAGGGTACTCTGATTGCTGGGAGTGTTTGCCGCAGCTTCCGCAGAAGCAATTCAACAGAACCCGCGGCTGAACTTCCGGTATTAGTCAAGGTGTGCGGTCGGGAGCTTCCGAGGCATTCAGGGCTTACTTTTAGCCAGTGATGCGAGCCGGGAGCAGAGTGATTGTTGCGAAGATGTCCTGCTCAGATTGTTAGCGGCACCACGCGCGCAACTCGGCAGCTTGCACAAAAAGAGATTGCAAGCGCAGCAGCGGAACAACTCACGTGGGCCTGCAATCAAGGCCCTCGTTGATTAGAACCCGTGTAGGGTACCTCGATTGTTGGGAGTGCTTGCTGCAGCTCTTGCAGAAGCAACTGCACAGAACAGGTCAGCGCTGCCCCTTTGAGCACTTCCGAGGCTTTTTGGGTCTGGTTCAAGCCAGTGATGCGAGCCGGGAGCAGAGTTGACCACACCACGAGCGCAGCTCGGCGGCAAGCGCTCATCGGCACAGCAGCAGATACAAGAGAGGCAGGGCCGGCTCACGTGGTGCCGCATTCAAGGATTGTCGACTGCTTGCATCCTGCGTGGTGGGGTCGAGCCTTGAAAGCAGGAGCCCTTTCTGGCAGCTCCCTTGGAGGCTAGGCATTACCTCAGCTTGTTTGTGCTTGACCTGTTCAGCTCTTGCCAACTGATCATTTTTCACGTTCCTGTTTAAAGTTAGTTCCGTCGTGCATCAAAGGAGATGGAGGCAATCGCAGCCCCGCGATGTTCCACCAGCTTGTGGTATGTGCAAGCAATTGAGTATGTGCAAGCACATGCCCAAGCAACCTTTGAGGCACTTCGTTTGCCCATCACGCCCCAACCCATCGCACTGCCAACATTTCACACGATCGTGATATCAGCGCTTGCGGAGCCGACAGTGTTCGAGTGATCATTCCAAGCTTGCAGAGGCATTACGCGGGCGATTGCGCCGCAGCTGTGCCACAGTTTGTAATTTGCGGGATGCAGTGGCTCGGCAAGCGCTGGTCTACTTGGACCTTGCCGAGTCCATGCCCAGCGTGACAACGACTGGGCAACTCAGGGGTGACCTCAGCCGGCTTAGCCGGCTTTGACAGCAAACGAAGAGTCTCCCCGAGCACTTGCGTAGCCGGTGTCAAGCCTTAAAAGCAGCCCTTCCCCTGGTGTCCTTGGACTAGGCATTGCCCCAGCTTGTTTGTGGCTCACCTTTTCAGGTCTCGAACACTAAACGATACTGAACGTGTTTCCTCTGTCCTCATTGCTAGTTCCCACGCGCTGAGAGATGGAGGAAGTCGCAGTGCTGCCTTCGCTCTCGCGTGATGTTCCACCCATTTGGCTGTGGCTCACAAAAGTGGAACCCCATTTTTGGGCCTCTTGGATGGAAACAAAGACCAACATCTGCGTAACCCCAGCCCTCAAATTTTGAGACACCCATTTGTGTTTGTGCAAAGGTGACCGTGGTTACCACACATCAGCCTGGCTGACGGGCAAACACGTGCATGTGCCGCTCGCATAAAAAAGCAACCTGCTCCGCCGACCGGGCCAGGGTGCCAAGCTTCTTTCCATTGACCCTAATTCAATGGATTCTCACAACCGGGTTCGGGGATGCTACACACACGATCGTCCTTTGGTGAAAACTGGAATTCCGCTTATTGGACCCCGTTTAGGGCACTCTGATTGGCGGGAGTGTTTGCGGCAGCTCTCGTCGAACCATTCAACAAAACCCGCAGCAGCACTACCGCTATCAGTCAAGTTGTGTGTCCGAGAGCTCCCGAGGCATTTTGGGCTTGGTTCCAGCCAGTGATGCGAGCCGGGAGCAGAGAGATTGTTGCCAAGCTGTCCTGCTCGGATTGTTGACTCCACTGTGCGCGCTCATGCAGACGTCACTTGTCCGCGCAACAGCTGACACCGGAGTCGCAAATTCAGCTCACATGAGCCCGCAATCAAGGACCCCATTTTTAAACAGCCGTTTAGGGTACTCTGATTGCCGGGAGTGTTTGCGGCAGCTCTCGTCGAACCATTCAACAAAACTCGCAGCAGCACTACTGCTCTCAGTCAAGCTGTGCGTCCGAGAGCTCCCGAGTCATTTTGGGCTTGGTTCCAGCCAGTGATGCAAGTGGCAGTTGCCAAGCTGTCCTGCTCAGATTGTTGACTACACCATTCGCGCTCATGCAGCCATCACAAATCCGCGCAACAGCTGACACAGGGGTCGCAAATGTGGCTCACATGGGCCCGCAATCAAGGGTTGTTAGCCGCTTGCATCCTGCGAGGTGGTGTCAAGCCTCAAAGCTAGCCTTGGAGGCTAGGCATCGCTAGACCTTTTTAGGCCTACAATGCTGAGCGTGTTTGCGTCCTGCTCAAAGCAAATGTGTGCATTCTCTATAGGGAATGGGAGCAGTTGCAGCCATGCTGTTTGCACTTCCACAATGTTTCACCCGTTTTCTCGGCGAAAGTGATGGTGGTCGTAGGCTGTTGGCTTGGCTGATGGCCGTGTAAACATAGGCCCGAGCAACCTGCTTGGATTCTTTGCTGGGAGGGTTCGCTACAGCTCTTGCAGCGATTCAGAAAATCTGCTGCAGTTTTGGGGCCATCAGGCGTCAAGTTGCGCGTGCGACAGCTTCCGAGGCTCTACGGGCTTGGTTCCGGGCCTTTCTAGCCAGTGATGCGAGGCAGCAGATGTGCAAGAGCCAACGTCACGCTTAATCAGCACCATGTCGTTTTTTCGGCCATGATTTGTGTTGTGCGCCATTTCACTGAGCGCCTTTACATTGTGGTGGGCAAAAGTAACGCAGCTGGCTGCTGGCCAAGACACTGAGACGGGGTGTTGCCAAACTTTCCTGCTCAGAGTGTTGACCACACCTTGCACGCAGCTTGCGCAGCAACCACTTCGGCGTGGGTCACCAACGAGCCTTGGAGGCTTCGCGGGAAACGGCTGCGAAGCACGGATGGCCCAGCCGCACGTAGCGGTGTTTGCATGCATCACTTCAATTCGAGGTGTTGCAAACCATTGGGGTGGCCAGTTAATCACAGTGATGTTCCCAGTACTTGGCCAAGGTAGGCACGTTTTGAATGGCTCGTATGTGTCAGTGTCCAGCATCTGTACATTTTGGCAGCAGCATGTTATAGGTCACTTGAGTCCCCTTGGTTAAGCTTTCTGGGCGCTCAGGCCTATTTCTATTCTGCGCCCACTTTGTTTGAAGGTCTTGCCCAGCCAGGTTTATCCTGCCGCTACACTTCACTGCTGCATGATTTCAGCATCGCCACCTCTCAGTCGTGCTGTCGGCGTTTCCTGGCTCTCGCTCTTAGATCGGATCCGTGCAGCGCCAATTGTTGAAATGGAACTGACGGCAAGCCCACGAATTGATTGGGGGCGCAATGTTCTTTTCTTGCTCGCGCGAAAGACGACTGGTTTCGATGGAAAGCCCGCCAAGTGTTGGCTGCAGCTGGGTAGCAAGCTAAGACTGCCACTGCTTGGTAGCATACAAAGCGACTGCAAGTTCAGGCAACACAGGAACTTTCTGAGATGGTTTCTTTCTCTGCTTCTCTTCCATGCAGGGGGTTGGGCAAGTTCCAAAAAGACTCAGACTTGGTTGCCCATAAGTTGAAGCCGTCGCACGCCCTCAGATTGGATATGGGCGCGAAATGTTGGACGGCAAGCCCGCCTTCTGGTGACGCAGCGCGTTTTTTTTGCGAGGAACGACGGCCGTTTGAAGTCGAAAGCCGCCCAGGTGTCGGCTGCTGGCAGAAAGCAACCCGGCAAGACTACAGTTGCTTCGGATGCAAAGTCGCTGCAGGGCCAGTGATTGTTCAACATGGTTCTGGTCTTTGCTTGCCTTTCATGCAGGGGTGCCTTTTGGGCAAGATGGCCGACGAGACTCAAACCTGGATGTTCATCCTGTAAGTTGAAGGCTGCACATACCCTTTGCAGAGTGCATGGAGCCTGCGAGACATCTTGAGATGGCAGAGCGCAAGCCCATCATTGACCGGCGGTGTATTGTGCTGTTCTTCTCGTAGGAAAGACTCTTTGCAGTAGAAAGCCAGCTGAGTGCTGGCTGCAGCTGCCAGCAAGCAACTTAGCAAGACTACCGCTGCTTGGCAGATCTACCTTTCAGGTGACACGGGAGTTGTCTCAGGCCGTTCTTCTTGCTGCTTATCTTCCAGGGATGCCGGGAAGCGGCGACCAGGACTTAGACTTGGATGTGCATCCTGAAAGTTGAAGCCCATGTGCGCCTTTTGCAGATTGGATAGGGGCAGTGCGCAACGTTGAGATGGCAGACGGCAACCTCTTTCGCCTGTCGACTTTGATCTCCATCCTGTAAGTTAAAGCCCTTGCGCTCTCTCAGATGTGATAGCGGCATCGCAAAGAGTTGAAGTGCTGGATCGCCAACGCGCCATGTTCTGGTGGCGCGTGTCTTTCTGCTTGCAGGAACGGCAATGGTTTTCAGCGGAAAGCTAGCTGCCAAGTGGCAGCCGCCAGCAAGCAGCTTACCAAGACTGCTGCTTGGCAGGTCGCAGAGTGGCGGCGGGCGCAGGTTGTGATACAGGAACTGTCTCAGGTGGTTCCTGTCTTTGCTTATTTGATACACAGGGATGCCGGGACGAGACAGACCATACTCAGACTTGACTGTAAGTTGAAGCCCGCGCATGCCCCTTCCACATTGGACAGAAGCAAGCGGGAAGCAGCGTTGGTTATTGACACACTGTGTTCTGCTTGTAGGAAACACTTTTGTTTCCAGTGGAAAGCCAGCTGCCAAGAGTTGGCTGCAGAAGGCAGCAAGCAACTCATCGAAACTGCGGCTGGGTAGTAGGTTGCAGAACTTCTGCAGGCGCAGGTGACACAGGCGTTGTCTCAGGCGACTCCTCTTTCTGCGCACCTTCCATGCAGGCATTCCGCCCAGAGCCCGACAAGATTCAGACCTGGATGCCCATACTGTAAGTTGAGGCCCCTGCACGTCCTTTGCAGATCGCATAGAGGCTGCGAAAGATGTTGAGATGGCAGATGTCGAACACAGAACTGACTGGTGGTGCAGTGTGTTTTTGCGCGCTAGAAGGACTACTGTTCCCAGCGGAACGCCAGCTGCGAAGTGCAGGCTGCAGCTGCCACCAAGCAACTTAGCAAACCTGACGCTGCTTGGCAGGTTGCAACGTGGCTGCAGGCTTATGTGTCACTGGGTGTCTCAGGTGGTGCGTGTCTCTGCACGCCATTCCTCAATGATGCCGGTCCCGGAGCGACGCAAAAAATGGACTTGGAGGTCCAGCAAGTTGAAGCTTGCTCGCGCCTCGAGAGATCTTGAGATGGCAAATGGCAAACGCAGCGTTGACTGGTGGCACACTTCGTTTTGCCGCTCGCAGGAAAGGCTGTTTTTGGTAGAATCCAGCTGCCTCGCGTTGGCTTCCAAGCAACTTGGCCACACCGCTGCGCAGGTTGCAGAGTGGCTGCAGGCCCAGGCAATACTGGAGTGATCCTGCCAGAAGCCCGCGCGCCCACTTTGCGGATTGCGAGACGTGTGCAGACAGCAAGTTCAGCATTGACTGCTGGCGCGCTGTGTTGTTCTTTCCAGTGGACTGCCAGCTGCCAAGTGTTTGCAGCTGTCAGCGAGCAAGCCAGCAAGACCATGGTCGGTGCTTGCCAGCTTGGAACATGGCTGCAAGCTCTGGTGACGCCGGAGTTGTCTCAGGCGGTTTCTCTCGCACGCCGCTCACAGGATGCTGGGAATAGACGCGCAGGACCCAGAATTGGTTTGGAGGTCCGTCGCTGAAGCCCGCGCACGCCCTTATCGAGTTGGTTAGAGACTGCACGAAACATCGTGCTGGCATTTTTCGCAACAGGCTAAGAAACGCAAAGCTCTTTAGCCCGTAGCAGATGCCAGACATTGCATAGAGGCCACGCAATATATTGTCAGTGCAAATGGCACACCTGGCATTGACTGGTGCCACAGAGTGTGTTTTACGTACTCTCAACAAAACAACAAGTGTTTCCCGTGGCCAAGTGCTGGCCGCAGCTGTCACCAAGCAAGTTAGCAGGAACACCGTTGACGGGTAGGTTGCAAAGTGGCTGCAAGCTCTGGTGACGCGGGAGTTGTCTCAGGCGGTTTCTCTGTCTGGTTGTCTTCCTTGCGGGGATGCCGGCGAAATATCGAGCTGGCAGATGGCGAGCAGTATTGACTGGTGGCACATCGTCTCGTTCTGCTCACAGGGCAGACGAGTCTGTTCAGTAGAAAGCCAGCTGCCAAGTGTTGGCTGCAGCTGGCAGCAAGCAACAGCGAGACTCCCACTGAGTGGTCGGTTGCAAAGCTGCTGCTGCACAAGAGTTGTCTCAGGCGACTCCTCTTTCTGCGCACCTTCCATGCAGGCATTCCGCCAAGAGCCGGGGAACACTCAGACCTGAATGCCCATCCTGTAAGTTGAGGGCCCCGCACGTCCTTTGCAGATCGCATAGAGGCTGCGAGAGTTGTTGAGATGGCAGATGTCGAACACAGCACTGATTGTGCTCGCTAGAAGGACTACTGTTCCCAGCGGAACGCCAGCTGCGAAGTGTTGGCGGCAGTCGCCAGCAAGCAACTTAGCAAGAACACCATTGATGGGCAGGTTGCAAAGTGGTTTCAAGCTCTGGTGATGTGGGAGTTATCTCAGGCGGCTTCTTTGTCTGCTTGTCTTCCATGCAGGGATGCCTGGAACAGACTCACAGGACTCTGCAATTGAAGTCCTCGCGCGCCCCTTGCAAATGAAATTGCGGCAGCGCGAAATATTCAACAGCATTGACTGGCGGCACACCGTCTTATTCTGCCCACAGGCGAGACGATTCTTTTCAGTGGCCAGCTGTCAAGAGTTGGCTCCAGCTGGCAGCAAGCAACTCGGCAAGACAGCTGCTGATTGGTAGGTTGCTAAGCTTTGCAGGCGTAGGAGGCCACAGAAGTTGTCTCAGGCGACTCCTCTTTCTGCGCACCTTCCATGCAGGCATTCCGCCCAGAGCCCGACAAGATTCAGACCTGGATGCCCATACTGTAAGTTGAGGCCCCTGCACGTCCTTTGCAGATCGCATAGAGGCTGCGAGAGTTGTTGAGATGGCAGATGTCGAACACAGCACTGACTGGTAGTGCAGTGTGCTTTTGTGCTCGCTAGAAGGACTACTGTTCCCAGCGGAACGCCAGCTGCGAAGTGTTGGCGGCAGTCGCCAGCAAGCAACTTAGCAAGAACACCATTGATGGGCAGGTTGCAAAGTGGTTTCAAGCTCTGGTGATGTGGGAGTTATCTCAGGCGGCTTCTTTGTCTGCTTGTCTTCCATGCAGGGATGCCTGGAACAGACTCACAGGACTCTGCAATTGAAGTCCTCGCGCGCCCCTTGCAAATGAAATAGCGGCAGCGCGAAATATTCAACAGCATTGACTGGCGGCACACCGTCTCATTCTGCCCACAGGCGAGACGATTCTTTTCAGTGGCCAGCTGTCAAGAGTTGGCTCCAGCTGGCAGCAAGCAACTCGGCAAGACAGCTGCTGATTGGTAGGTTGCTAAGCTTTGCAGGCGTAGGAGGCCGCAGAAGTTGTCTCAGGTGACTCCTCTTTCTGCGCACCTTTCATGCAGGCATTCCGCTAAGAGCCGGACAAAACTTAGACCTGGATGCCCATCCTCTAAGTTGAGGCCCACGCACGTCCTTTGCAGGTCGCATAGGGGCTGCGAGAGTTGTTGAGATGGCAGATGTCGAACTGACTGGTAGTGCAGTGTGCTTTTGTGCTCGCTAGAAGGACTACTGTTCCCAGCGGAATGCCAGCTGCGAAGTGCTGGCGGCAGCCGCCACCAAGCAACCCATCAAGACTTCCACTGCTGGGCAAATTGGAAAGGTGACACAGGAGTTGTCTCAGGCGGTTTCTCCCTTGGAGTACCTTTCACGCATCTCTGGAAGAGACGGACAGGATTGGGGCTGGGATGTTTTCACTTGCATCTTGAAGCCATGGGCTCTTTGCAGATGGCGCAAAATGCAAACTGCCGAGATGGCACATGGCCGTAGCATTGCCTGGTGGAGATTGGAAAGCCAACTGCCAAGCGCTGACTGGCAAGGAACTTAGCCAGACTACCACTGAGAACGTGGCTGCAACTTCCGAGAGTTGTCTCAGAAAATCGACGGGCCCGCGAGCGCCTTTTGTAGAGATAGGGGCAGCGCGCAACATTGAGATAACAGACGGCGAAGTATGGACCGGCGGCGCAATGTTGTTTCTGCTCCTGGACTCAGATCCTGTAAGTTTTTCAGCCCTCGCGCGCCCTTTGCAGAGAAAGCGGCAGTGCAACATCTTGAAATGGACGATGGCAGCGGCATTGTCTGGTAGCGCACTGCGTTTTTCTGCTTGCAGGAAAGATAGCTGTTTCCAGTGGACAGTCAGCTGCCAAATGCTGGCTGCAGCTGCGAGCCAGCAACTTAGCGAGACTGCTGCTGTTTGGCTGCAGGCACAAGCGATTGATACAGGAACTGTCTCAGGCGGTTCCTGTCTTTGCTTATCTGATGCGCAGGGATGCCGGGATGAGACGTGCGGGCACGCCCCTTCCAGATTGGAAAGAAGCAGCAGGAAGTATTGAGATGTCAACCGTCCAGCGCAGCGTTGGTCAGTGGCACACTGTGTTCTGCTTGTCGGAAACACTTTTGTTTCCTGTGTAAAGTCAGCTGCCAAGAGTTGGCAGCAGGCCGCAAGCAACTCAGGGAGAGTGCGGCTGATTGGTAGGTTGCCAAGCTTCTGGCGCAGGTGACACAGGAGTTGTCGCAAGTGGCTCCTGCCGCTGAGCAGCTTCCGACGCAGACTTGGATACCCATCCTGTAAGTTGAAGCCCGTGCACTTGAATGGAGGCTGGAAATGTTCACATTGCAGACGCTAAGCACGATGTTGACTGGCAATTACGACTCAACGGTTGTAGTTTTTTTTCCGCTCGCTAGAAAGATGATTGCTGGTAGGAAGAAACTTAGCGAGACTGCTTGGCAGGCTGGAAATCTAATCAAGCGACGACTTGGTTGTCTTAGCTGAGTCCTGACTCTTGCGCACCTTCCATGTAGGCATGCCGGAAAGAGGCACGCCCTTAGCAGATTGCCTAGAGTCATGAAAGCTGCAATACCGTTTTCCGACAGCAGATGGCAAACACAGCGTTGACTGGCAGCGCATCGTGTTTTTGCCAGAAGCTGAGCAAGACTACCGCTGCTTGGGAGGTTGCAAAGTGGCTACAGGCTCATATGACACAGGGCTTGTCTCAGGCGGTTTCTATCTTTCACGCGGTTTCGGTCTTTGCGCCCCCTCCAAGCAGGGATTCCGGGAAGACACCCAACAGACTCAGACTTGATTCGGAGGTCCATCCTGAAAGCGAACGCGCTGCGCATATTGAACTGAGGCTGTGAGAGATGTTAAGGTGGCAGATGCAAACGCAGCATTGACTGGGCCACGCAGTGTGTGTTTTCTGTTCGCGGGAAAGGCAGCTGCTTCAGGGAATGCAGGCGGCGAGTGTTGGCCGCAGCTGCCAGCAGGAAACTTAGCAAGACTTCCGCTGCTTGGCAGGTTGCAAAGTGGCTGCAGGCTTAGGTGACACAGGAATTGTCTCAGGTGGTTCCCGTTTTTGCTCATCTGAACCGAGAGGCTGGGAAGAGACCGACGGCACTCAGACTTGGACGTCCGAGCTGCAAGTTGAAGCCCTCCCGCACCCCCAGACTGGAAAGAGGAAGGGCGAAACATCGAGCTGAGCTACCACTAAAGGGGCTGGTATAGAATGAATGACAAGGGGCTCCTTCTCCGCCTCTGATATGTCTTGGAGTGCAATAGAATGACACACCCCAAGAAGCGCAGGCGGCCATTCAGCACCAAAACTCCTCATTCTGCATTCGGTGGCTTGTTCGGGGCGCGATGTGGGTTTAGCTCCTTTGAAATACCGACAGAGCAGCAGCTGCAGCTTTTAGAGTCGAACAAAGGTTGCCTCAAGACCCTGGCTGACCAGTCATGTTGCTAGTAAGAAGCAGAAGTACAAGGCTTGCAAAGAGCAAGCTGCCGATAGTGATGCTCGCCTGTGAGAAGAGGAGCGTTGATGTCACACATGGGGGACGAGGCACGCGTGACTAGAACCATGTAAAACGAAGGCGACAATCTATATAAGACAAAGAAGTTAAATATACTTTAGTTTGGCACGTAAGGAATTGACTAGAACCATGTAAATAAGACCAAATATTTAAGTATATTCCAGTTTGGCACGTAAGGACTTTGGCGGCGGCTCAGATGGCAAACGGCCAGCGCAGCATTGACTGGTGCCGCACTGTGTTGTCTTGCTCGCCTGAGAGACGCTTGTTGCCAATGGAAAGCCATATGCCAAGTGCTGGCTGCAGCTGCTATCGCACAATTCAGCTGTTGCTTGGTAGGTTGCAACTGCAGGCTCATGTGACACAGGGGTCGTCTTTGGTTTCTGTCTCTGCACACCTTTCACGAAGGGCTGCGACGAGTCACTCGGGTATCCATCCTTCAAGCGGTGTGTGCTTTTTCTTTAAGGAGAGACGATCGTTTCCCGTGAGAACCCAGCTGCCAAGAGTTGGCTCCAGCTGGCAGCAAGCGACTCAGCGAGACTGCTGCTGATAGGTAGGCTGCCAAACTTCTGCAGGCGTAGGAGGACCACTGGTGGCACACCGTCTTGTTTGTCTCACAGGTGAGACCATGGTTTTCAGTGGAAAGCCAGCTGCCAAGCGTTATCTCCAGCTTGCAGCAAGCAACTTAGCGGACCACTGTTGCTTGGCAAGTTGCAAAGCCAAGAGACGGACTCCTGTAAATTGAAGCCGGCGTGTCCCTTTTGCAGATCAGGTAGAGGCTACGTGACATGTTGAGCTGCAAAATGCCGAGCAGCATGGACTGCTGGAGCGGAGAGACGCTTGCTTCCAGTGGAAAGCCAGCTGCCAAGTGTTGGTCGCAGCTGATAGCAAGAAACTTGGCGAGACTGCTGCTGATCGGTAGGCTGGAAAGCTTCACCAGAATCAAGCGACGAATTGGTTGTGTTAGGTGAGTCCTGTGTGTTTTACCTACTCTGAATACAGCAACAATCATTTCCAGTGAAGAGCCAGCTGCCAAGTGTCGCCCGCAGTTGCCAGCAAGCAACTTAGCAGGACTACCGCCTACCTTCGCTAGGCTGGTAACAAAGTGGCTGGAGGCTAAGGTCGCAGGACTTGTCTCAGGTGGTTCCTGTGTTTGCTTGTATTCCGCGCAGGGATATCTGCAAGAGACGGACAGAACTCAGACCATGATGTCCATCTGAAGCCCGCATGTGCCCTTGGCAGACCCAGCTGCCAACGAACTTAGCAGGTCCACTGCTGCCTGGAAGGCTCATGTGGCACAGGATGTTTTCAGGTGGGTTCTTGTCTGTGTGTACGAGGCTGTGCGAAATGTTGGCAGATGACCAACACGGCATTGATTGGCGGCGCAGTGTGTTCTTTTGCTCGCAGGAAACTGGTGTGTTGCCAGCGGCAAAGTCAGTTGTTGGCTGCAGCTGGCAGCAAGCCACTCAGCAAACTTATCGCTTGGCAGGTTGCAAAGTGGCGGGCGCAGGTGACACAGGATTGTCTCAGGTTGTTCCTGTCACGGATGTCCGGAAGAGAGTGACGGGACTCAGACTTGGACGCCCCCCAAGTTGAATTGAAAGCCGGCAGTCTTTGTAGGTTAGATAAATGCTGCGCGAAAACTTGAGCTGGCAGATGGCAAAACAGCAGTCAGCGACCTGTGGCACACTCCTTTGGTTTGCTCGCAGGAAAGACGGCTATCAGTGGAAAGCCTGCCAAGAGCTGGCTGGCAGCAAGCAATTTAGCAAGAGTGCCGCTGCGTTGCCACTGTCAAAGTGGCTGGCGGTCTCCCAGGGACGGTCTCCGATGGTTCCCTTCTTTGCTTACCTTCGCAGGGATGTCGAGACGCACAGAACTCCTTGGATGCCCAGCCTCAACAAAGTTGAAGCCGCCTTTTCCATATTAGATAGAGGCCGTGCGTCTTGAGATGGCTGGTGGCGCAGTGCGTGTTTCTCGCTCAAGCGGTTGTTTCCAGACGCGTCCCATCTCCAGCGCTACGAGTCACGCCTGCACATGCTTTCTCGGGCATCGTGAATCCTATTCCCTGAGTCGTTGAACAGGAGGCGTTCAACTCCGCAATGGTCAGCCAATGCCACTGATGACAGCGCCCCAACACGTACCAGGTGTTTTACATGCCACATCTTGAATCTCGGTGGAACTGCTGATCGGTGCCATTCGTGACAGCTCAGTGCGGAACCCCGCGTTTTTCCCGCGCAGCGGCGGCAGTCTGTGTGTCGATGGGTTTCAGCAGTTCAGCGGCGTGGCTGCAATGTGCTACGTGTGGATTCGGACTTTTGGCGTAGCTCGTTTGGCTTTGCGTGTGGTGCGTGTTTGTATGCACCCGCGTTTGTTTTGCGTTTTGTGTGTGTTTTTGTGTGGAACCCCTTGCATTCGGTTCCTGGCCAAAGAAAAACCACCATTTTGAGACACTCAGTGAAGTCTCGGAGTCCGACAACGGCGGGAATGATTCAACTGTTTCTTGGACACCTTCACTTACAGGGGCATGTGTTGGTGTTTTTTGTTATCCGTCTTTGTTTTCGAATATATATATATATATACATCTATACTTTAGAGCCTCCGGCTCAGTCCGCCGACATTGTCCTCTCCCTTTTCTCCTTCTTCCTCTCTCCCTTGTCTCCCTCGTGTGTTCTGTCGTCCTCTCTCTCTCCCTCTGCTCCCCATCCTCCCCATGCCCCCAAGCCTCTCTCTCCTCAATCTCCCTCTCTCTGTCTCTCTCTCTCTCTCTCTCTCTCTCTCTGTTTCTCTGTCTCTCTGTCTCCTTCCTGTCCACGCCCTTCTACAGAAAAAGGGTACCCTAACTCAAACCTCTCTACTCTCTCACTTTCTCGCTCTTTTTCTCTGTCTCTCTCTCTCTCTCTCTCTCTCTCTCTCTGTCTTTCTGTGTCTCTCTTTCTCTCTGTCTCGTTCTTTCTCTCTCTCTCTCTCTGTCTCTCTCTCTCTCTCTCTCTCTCTCTGTCTGTCTCTTGCTCTGTTTCTCTGATTCTGGCTCTGTCTCTGGCTCTGTGTCTGGCTCTCTCTCTCTCTCTCTCTCTCTCTCTTTCTCACTCTCTGTGTCTCTCTCTCTCTCTCTCCCTCTCTCTCTCCCGTTCTCTCCCTCTGTCTCTCTCTCTCTCTCTCTCTGCATTGCAGCGTTACGTCCCCCTTGAGTTGCCTCGATGTCCGGGCACTGCCCCTTCATGACCCTGAACTGTCATCTCACTACTGGCTTTCCCCTTGATTTCCCCTTTTCACGTTTCCCATGGTGTCCTGGTCATGTCCCTTCCATGCCTTTCAACTCCCCCTTCAGGTCCCTGACATTTTGTCGGTATGTCCGCTTCATTTTCCATGTATGTCCCGTTCTTTCGTTGCGAGTCATTTCCCTACATCTCCCGTCGTGCCGATTGGTGTCCTTGTGCTTTGTTTCCCTCTCATTCCCCCTGCACTCCCCTTGTTTTCATTTCTGTCCCTAGCATGTCCTTTCAGTTCCCCTTTGTTTCCCTTTCATTTCCCGCTGCTTTCCTGTCATGTCGACTTCCTATTGCCTCCCCTCATTTCCTTGCACTTCCTTGCATTTCCCCTTTGCTCCCCAATATTCCCCCAAAAAAACACGGTTTTTCCAGCGTTGTCGCAATTAGGACGTCCAAAAACACAGAGTTTTTCAAGATTTTCGGCAACATGAGGCAGGAACCGCAAAAGGAATCGAGCCTGGGACCCCTGTTTTGCGACACCGGCTCCCCGAAGACTACGTTTAGTGGAACGTCATCAAATTGCCGCGCGGTCCGTGGGGGGGGGGGCACGTATCAGACTGTCGGGGGGGGTTTAGGGGGGGGGTTATCCTCTATCCTCTCTTAGGTGTCCGGCACGCCGAGCAATGTCGGCGGATATATATATATATATATATATGTAATGCAGTTCAAGGCAACCCAACACAACGCAGTGTAATTTTGGTATGCAATGTAGTGTAGTGTAATGTAATGTAATATAGGCATGTACTTGATGTCAATGCTAGGGAGAGATGCCTGAGTGCCGTGCGAATTGCACTGCTTTTGAAAGAGTAGGTCGGTCGCTGACAACATTTCCAAATTCTAGCTGCAAAATCTAGCTGCAAGTTTGACACTTTGCTGACAGTGTTTCTAGCCCTTCCAAATTGCACGGAACGGCCTTTGTTGGCGAGACTCGGCTTTTGACCAAGAAGAGAGAGAGAGAGAGAGAGAGATATATATATATACATATATGCTACCCGCCCAGGTACCCAGGTTTGGGCTTGGTTCAGATGTCCTTTGACCGCGGAAGCAGGCAGGAAGAATAGCTCAGATTTGCACACTGGGAGACCAGAGGAAGGAGGTTTGCCTCATTGAAGAAAGACGCCTTGGACGTGACCCATGCCCTTTTCAATGGCTCTTCCACACAAATTCAATTCACATATCTTCCCACACAAACCACGCCTTCTTTCAAAGGCTCTTCCACGGACAACTCACATATCTTCCCACACAAGCCATGCCTTGTTTCATTCAAAGACTCTTCCACAGAAAATTCACACATCCTCTCACCCAACACATGTCTTTTTACATGTCTTCTTTCAATGAAACAAAGGCAGCATATGTGAAAGAGTTGCCAAGGAAAGCGAACCCTGTGTAGAATAAAGCCAGGCTATGGCTGGGACAGTTTGTGTTACATAAATGGTGGTTTTACATGATATTTACTGTCTTTTGCTGTACTATTATGAATCACAGTAACCCTGACTCTTCCACAAAGACCCACATATCATTTCACACAAAACATGTCTTTTCAATAACTCTTCTCTACAGAAAATTCACATATCCTCTCACCCAGAACATGTCTTCTTTCACAAAGGTTCACATATCCTCTCACCAAAACATGCCATTTTTCAAAGGCTCTTCCACAGCAAATTCACTTATCTTCCCACACAAACCCCTTCTTTTCAAAGACCCTTCCACAGAATATTCACACATCACCTCACACAAAGCATGTCTTTTCAATAACTCTTCCCTACAGAAACTTCATTCATCCTCTCGCCCAAAACATGTCTTTTTACATGCCTTCTTTCACAAAGGTTCACATATCCTCTCACCAAAACATGCCTTTTTCAAAGGCTCTTCCACAGAAAATTCACATATCTTCCCACACAAACCATGCCTTCTTTCAAAGACTCTTCCACAGAAAAATTACACATCCTCTCACCAATCACATGTCTTTTTACATGTCTTCTTTCAATGAAACAAAGTCAGCATATGTGAAAGAGTTGCCAAGGAAAGGGAACCCTGTGTAGAATAAAGCCAGGCTATGGCTGGGACAGTTTGTGTTACATAAATGGTGGTTTTACATGATATTTACTGTCTTTTGCTGTACTATTATGAATCACAGTAACCCTGACTCTTCCACAAAGACCCACATATCATCTCACACCAAACATGTCTTTTTCAATAACTCTTCTCTACAGAAAATTCACATATCCTCTCACCCAGAACATGCCTTCTTTCACAAAGGTTCACATATCCTCTCATGTTCCGCAAATGTTGCGCAACATTTGGAATTTGTTGCGCAACATTTCCAAAAAAACAAAAAACCAAAGAATCCCAGCCATGGTGGGGGCTAGGATTGGTTTTTTGTTTTTTTGTCTTTTTTGGTTTTTTGGTCCACAAAATGGCCTTGCAGAAAATGCATGAGTTGAATCAAAATACACTGTAACTATCAATGGTTTTGATACATGATGCAACAACACCTGGGTACTGGGGGGGGGGGTACCATATATATATATATATGTTTGTTTGTTTGTTTGTTTGTTTGTTTGTTTGTGTGTGTGTTTTCGCAAGAAAAGGCATGATCTTGTTCTGGAGCGCGGTGTGGGAATTTGCCCGAGGTCGTACGTACGACGCACAGCTTGACGAAGTTGGCATGTGACATCGCGCGGATACGGATCCTCTTCAGACAGATGCCAGCACACAAGACAGTGTGCAAAAGAGGCCTCACGCGCGATGTCGTGCGTAGGCCGTGTTTTGGGGTTGGCCCGTGCGCCTGGTGTTTATGCTTCCCTGCTATCACGCTTCAAAGAAGGTTCAAACGAGTTTCACTCGAGCTGGTCCAGTGTTTGCTCTTGCGGAAGGCTGCCTCATGATAGAGTGTGGGCTGAATTGCGTTGGCCGGTGCTCAGCTTTTGAGAAATGAGCCAACCTCCTTGTTTGGTATGGAAGTGACTTTCAATAGGAGACCTTTCGTTGGACATCACAACTCGGTGGGATTCATCCCAAACCAACCATTTTGTAGGTTGTTCCGCATTACGGTTCAGAGCCACATTGTGTCTGTCTTTTTGCTGGGTCGGTTTGGAGGGAAACCAAAGGGAAACCTCTAGTTTGAGACAAACTCATATATTCTTTGAGTGAGCCTGTTGGCCTTGCAAAACACTTTTTCCCCACCAAAGGAGGGCACCCATTGAGATGCCTTGCTGCTTGTAGAATATTGTAGAATTGTAGATTCAAGAGGATCACGAGCACTGAGCTAGCATTCAGCGATTTGCAATGTTTTAGGGACCAAAGATCGCACTTCCTCTGCGCTACGGGAAGTTAAATGTGGAGGACAGTTCTTGTAAAAAGACAGGATGTGCGATGTGCAGTTCTTATGCAGTTTTGGCAGGGAATGTGGGCAAGAGTACAAGCGCAAGATTTCCACTGTAATCAGCGGCACCCAAACCCTTGCAACGCAGAGGTTCAAAAAGTGCCAGGTATAGAAAACTTGAGAGCCTCCGGCTCAGTCTGCCGACATTGTACCCTCCGCGTCCTGTCCCCTGCATGGCCTTGGATTTCCCTGCACTTCACCGTTCATGTCCCCTGTATTGTCCCTGCAATACGCTTGCATTTCCTTTGAGACACCCCTTCATTTCCCAGTCCTTTTCCCCTAAATTTCCCATG